GGTGTGCGAACCAGTCAGGAAATATCTCAGGTAATATAATTACTTAAACCATAGAGAAAAAATTATTTTTTTCATGGATTTTCTTTATGATTAAGACTGTCTGAAAAGTCAATAATAATGCTGTACAGTACAGCTTCAGCTCAATCTGTCAGACACATTTGTGCATTTATTGCATTTCACCACTCATTTATCATACTGAAAATTTTTTCCATACCGCACTGGAGATCAAATAAGCTTGTCTTAGCCATAGTAATTTTGTATTTTTTTAAAAATAAAAATCTCACAGACATGGGCCCATCCATCATAAATCATGCAGCTATGTTTGTGTTTTCCAAGAGTAAGTCCAGAGTGCCACTGTGATGGTTAAAATGTGTGATACAAATATACAATCTGAGTGAGATGGCAAAGTATGTCTGCCATGTGAATGCAATGAATAGGAAATACGAGTGCAATAAATCTGCATTCCCAATCAGATAAATTAGCAAACCAATTGCAATGAGAATGTGGAAATACAAGTAATTATTCGTTGTAGAAGCCGAACTGTATGTACAGAATTTGATGAGTTTGTGTGTGTGTCTTTGTTAGAACTCGTGAAGACACAGTTCGTTGTATTGTATCCAGTCTAACTGACGACGGCAGCAGTGAATTAGCCGATGAGTTGGTCAAAGGAGAACCGCTCTTAATGGATGAGAATTATTACAGCGATGAAGAAAATGGAGATCCTGAAACGTGGCAACCTGATCCAATTGATGCTGATCCAGGTTAGAAATCTAAGAGTTTTGATAATATGATCGATGTTATGGGATTCATTTCACAAATATCTCCTGTCTAACTAATTGTCACTGTTTTGTAATGTTGAGACATTTTTTGAGCAGTTTTCAGTGTCTTTTAATCACTAATGAAATAAATAAAAATATTATACATCTGTCGTCATAACGCCATAAGTTACAGTGGGTATTTTCATCCTACCATATTAGGAAATTTAAATTCCAAATATGGAGTGATTACATCCGTGAGCATCCTCTTATAATAAAAACAAACATGGCAGCCCCCAGGGTTTGACCGGACTCCACATAAAGAAGTTTGCTAAATCTGCTCTAAACTTTTTTGGATTTCAGTATTCACATGTATCCTTGGGAGGAATAATAATAAAGTTATTACGAGGATACCGCTAAGTATGCACTCAGACAGTATGTTGTCGCATCGACCTTCGCTGCACGTCATTCGATACTTTCGCTGTACTGTCTTTGTGCATACTTTTCGGTATCCTCGTAATAACCTCATATTATTGTCTGCAAATTTGTTTGAAGCCTTTTGACATGTTACCAGTAAGTAACATGTAAATTGAGTTTTCAATATCTTAGGGTGTCATCAAGTCACAAGATTACGTGCGGGATTTGTCGATGGACTATATATATCAAAATCAGTATTCTATGTGAAGCATTTTCGATTAAGATTAGTCAGATGCACACCACACACTTGAGTTGTTTTGCGTATAGCCATTAAGTCTCGTAATTTATAGAATGCTCTTGAAGCAGAATTGTAACAGAAATGGATGATGGAATTTATTGTAGTGAAGACAAATGATAACTTGTTAATAAATGGTGCAATTCGCCTGGTTATGAACAGTATATTAACCTGCAGACAATGTTACTTTCAGATTTGTTTTTTGGCCAAATTAAAATTAAAAAGGCTTTTAAGTATTAAAGTTTTGCTAAAAATTTAACTTTACATATAATATATACAGAAGAAGGTCATACCTTGAAAACAAATTGCTATAAATCTTATATATTTCAGATAAAAGCATTTTGATTCAGTCATATGATAAGAATAACAAACTTATTTTAATGCTTTGAACCAATCAGTTTTATTTAATTGTTTTTTTTATTGTGCCATCTATATATTCTATTTCAGCAAAAACATCTAAAAGTCGTCGCTCCTCAGACATCATCAGTATGCTTGTTAACATATATGGTAGTCGCGAACTTTTTGTCAATGAATATCGAACGCTGCTTGCCGATAGAATTCTGTCCAGTTTTAATTACGACACTGCCCGTGAAATTCGTTATCTTGAACTGTTGAAACTTCGGTTCGGAGAATCGCAACTACATTACTGTGAAGTGATGCTGAAAGACGTGGCGGATTCCAAGAGGATCAACACTCACATCAAAGAATTAAAAGATAAGGAAGAAAAAGAAAAAACGGAGGTGAGTCTGAAGTGGTGATAAGAAACTTTGTGAGTGATGGTTGGGTTTGAGAAATGAAGTAAATTTCCATCTGATCGTTTTTGATTTCCCATCCAATTTTTTCAAATCGAAATACCATTCTTCCCATCTCCTTCACCATCAACTACCCCTTCCAAATATGTTCAGTAGTTTAGTTTGCCATATGAATTGAACCAATCTACCATAATTTGTTTCTTTATCAGAAAAATGTGGACTTGAACACCATGATTCTATCAGCCCAGTTCTGGCCATCATTCCGGGAAGAGAAACTAGATGTTCCAGA